CTCCTAGAGCATATAGCAAAAAAGGAGAGGATAAAGACTCATCTTATCTATTATATGCCTTTTCCTATTCATTTTAGTTTAGTAGAGTCAAGCTGGGTTCTTATAAGGCTTTGATAGTTAGGACTAGCATGTCCTCTAGTTGCTAGTTTACTTGCTCATATTGGTTCCATTTCGGCCTCCATCTTTGTAATGTAATGTTACTAGTTATTTAATAGTATTCCAATATTCCATGCTTTTTGTTTCTGTGATTTAGTTTTGGTTGATTTTCTAGCCCTGACTTATTCTAGATTGTTGTTTTGAGCACCTTCTTCTTTTCCCTATTTTACTTTGATTGATTTGCAATTTGTGATTTGCTTTAGATTTAATTTTTTTTCTTATGATTTCTATAAAATTTCCTTCGATAAGGAAGGAAAATATATAAGAGTAAGAAGAGGACAGTTATAGGTGCTTTGTTAGTTGTGTTTGATTGACGATGGGGTAATGAAGGGGAGGAGGTCAATGAAAATAGAGAAGAGAAGGTTGATAAGGGTGGATATGACTTTTTTTCCCCACCCATCTCATTTACCTCACCACATCAGGAAAAAAAATTGCCACATCACCTTTATCAGTCAAACTAAATTATTTTATAATCAAAATTAATGTCGGGGAAACATTGCACTTTTTTAAAAAATTTTAAGATAAAGTTGTTCTAACTAAAAAAATTTGAACATTTTTGCCCCTTAACCCTTAAAAATACAAGAAAGGTGAGCATATTATAAAAAAAAATTTAAAAAGTTGTAGGGAAAATGACACCCAAATCTCCTCGAATTGCATACATGATAATATAATCCTTTGAAATTCCATAATTCCATTCAAGTATTTATGGACTTCTGTGTTTTGAATTGAAAATACCATTTTATCTTCATTGATAAGTTGTTATTTCTTACGATTCTTTAAATAAAAGTTATTATTCCTTAAACAAAAGTAAATTTTTTTTTTAATAGCATAAATTACACTTGACAAGTTGTGATTTTTCTATTCAACTCTTATGATTCACACAATAAAAGTTATTATTTTTTAATTAAAAGTTGTGATTAGCATTTGTTATTTTTAATAAGGGTAAAATGAACTTTTTCACTTTAAAATATATTGATACAAAAATTTTAAAGATTTTAATAAAATTATAACATTTGAGAAACCAAATTGTTATATATTTAATTTGGAGGATTTCATTGTCATTTTTTCAAAGTTTTATACAATTCAAATATTCAATTCAATTTGATGATTGCACGTGGTATTTGGACCCCGGGTAGTGACTTTTTAATCTACTTGATACACGTGTCAGTGTGAATGTGAATAAAGGCATCCGTGTACATTCAATGGTGGCCACCAGCAAAAATTTGACTATTCTGTCAAGTTGTCCTCTTAGAATCAATAATGTAAATTCAGGTTAGATACATGTAATAATAATTATAATTCCTGCTTTTAATTACGCCGAGCTCATTCTCACCTGGAACTTTTATATTTTGACCAACACCTATAACTTTTATATAACTTTCACGGTTCTTTATACGCTTTCCCCAGATTAAACAACCCCAAAAAGTATTAATTATTCACTTGAAATATTAAGAGCGTATATATTTTTAAGAATTTGAAGTTAATTAAAAAATTGTCAAATACAAGCTGGCCCTTGTTTGGGCTAACATGCATCTATAAAAGTGTATATCTCGATGACTTTTTTGGCCACCTGCGTTGATGATCTTCAAAAACTTTTTAAATTGGGAACTGGCACTTGGTTCAATCCAAATGTTAAAAGAATCAGTCAAAAACCAATAAATTAGATCAACAAGCCGCCAAACGGTTGCACTTAAAAACTAGACTAAGTAACAAAAATTACAAAAAAAAATTAAAATATAAAAAGGTGCAAATTTAAATAATAAATTCAAAATAAAACAAGATTAGATTTGATAAATTAATATTTTTTTAATGTTCAGGCCATCTTGATAGGGTTCGAGCTTGAACAGAATATCCAAATAAAAAATATAAAAATATTAATTAATTTTTAAGATTTAGATAATTTTATACTAAAATATCATATATTTAAATGTATTACTATAGGTATTTTTTAAATAAATTAAAAATATTTATATTTTTATTATTTTTAATCGATAATATATCTCAAAATAATATTTAAAATTAATTTTAATATTACTTTTTAGATTTTAAGACCCATATTTAAAAAAAAAGTTTTATACATCATTTAAGTATTTAAAAAATATATTTTATATTTTTATAAAATAAAAATAATTAATTTTAAAAAATAAAAATACAGCCGAATTTTGAATAAATTCATATCAGTTTTAATCATTCAAATTCCTTACAAAGTACTTGGATCGAGCATATTTTAAATTGAACCTAAATAAATTTAATTTATCTAAATTATCAGCTCTATTCTAATACCATTGCATTCTAGAGGAGAGATGCGCCCACCCACTCTTTCAAAATTTAGATTAGATGTGGGATTTAATCTCACTTTTATTGGCGCCTTTCTTTTGTTTGGTTTCCTCCCAGGAGTATCTGCTCGCGTATCTTACTTAAATCTTTTATCATTATTTTTTATGTGAGCACATATTTTTAATTTTTATACATCTAATTATTTACCTATATTTTTGCCTCAAAATTTATTTATTTTTAATTTAGTTCCAATCAACCCCTTCGAAGTGTCTAATATTTTGTTTCTTCCTTTTCTCTTCATTTTTCCTTGATTTTTTAATTTATTCTTATTTTACAAATTTAATATTGTCAAATAATATTTTATAAAATATTGCTTCTAATTAATATTTAACATATCCATTATTAACAAAAAAATGCATATTTAACATAAAAAATTAAAAATGTTAAATTAATCACAATCAATCTAACCACATTTTAACAACACTGGCTCTCAAACTAGTACTTCATCCAGTTTAATGACAAGTTCAATTTTTAAAACTTTATTAAAAAATGATTAGAAATACTATTGAGATGTTCGATCTCACATGTTATCTTCTATCATTTTCAAATGAAAAGTCAGGTGCAACTTCAAGAAAAACGCTTGAGAAATGAGCATTTAGCTTTTCGTTTCTTTGGTTTGGTATATGTGCTAATTGTTTATTTCAGAGTTTGTTATTTTTAATTCTTCCATTTATCCACATTGGTTCAAAACAAGTAATCAAAGTACCTAGTATGACGATATTTTTGGGGAGGAAAAAAGAATGATGATAGCTGGATAGAATATAGAAGTAAATTCTCATAAGTAGGATCGGAGGCTTGAACAAAAAAAGCAAGAAAAGCATATGTTGAAAAAAGCACCAATAACTAAGCTCAACAATGATACTTAAAATTCGGTATAATAGCACTCGATAGCAGATAAACGTATAAAAAATTGCAAAAGGAATTAGTTAGCACATGTTTTTTTTTCCCAGATCAATTAACACGCATGCTCTCTTTGACTAAAAAGTCATGGAAAAAGTTAATAAAAAACAAGCATGTTTATCTTTATTGACTGAAAATTTCAATGCCTTGTTAAACGAAAATTCAAATTCCCGCTCATTGAAAACAAATGGGTCATTCGGATTTATTAATTTTCATTTTCAAGATCCAAATTTTGAAACTATTCAGGGTCCTTAATCGCATCTTTTTGGCGTATATAGCATATTTTACAATTTCGGCCAACAAAAATATTTATTTATTTCTTATAATACTATTACTTTTTTAATTAGCAGTTGAAGCTGACCATCACCACAAGAGGAGTGAAGAAAACTGACTAGCCAACCAACTAAAAAACATGTGTATTTTAATATTCATTCACAATTTAACAAAATGTAACCGTCGTGGGTCAGCCATTATTTGTTCTTCGTTGATTATTCCTCTTCAGCAGCTTCGGGACCACTGACGGCCAACGTATATTTCTCCTATCCCATCCAAGCATTTGACTTTAATTTTCAATCATGCTGTGCCATAACTCCCCACGGATATGAGGGGTAAAACCCCGGGGTCACTAAAAATTTTTGGACGTTTAAATTATATACGTATTTCTTACTCTTATGATTTTATATTTTTGTTTTAAAAATTTAAATTGCCTTAAAATATTTTTAAAATCTAAAGATATATTATAAAACCTCTTTCTGATAAAAGATGAGTAAAACTACGTACTATTCGTTAAAAAATATAAAACATTTTTTATAAGATAAGATATTAATAAAAATATATTTTTTTAAAAAATATTATTAATTAAGGATTATAATTAATAAGATTTTCTAACTAATTAAGACATCATATTAAAAAAAGGTAAATATGAAAAGAGAATACATTTTTAAGGACAGATAAATAATTCATTGGAGTGTAATTTCATTAAAAATGACTTATATATAATATCAAATAGAGGGAGTATATATTTTATTTATGTAATTAGATTAGATAAATTTTTCTTTCATTATTCATGACTATATATTTTACATCTCACTTTGATAATATGAAAACGTTACATATTACATAATAATACAATTGATTAACATCAAGTAATTAATAATATATATCAAATTTAAAATGAACTGAATTCATAGTTTTTACCCTAAAGATAAAGAAATATTATAAAGATTCTAACGAAGAATGACATCAATATCCTAACTTGTTTTGAAAATAAAAACTTTATCAGGGAGGAAAAAACGATATTGATAAACTCAATCATAATACATCTAAACGCACGAGGTGCAAGTTGAAGGATCAACCATTCAAAAACCAGCAACATCCAGGATACGAGAAGGAAAATCCCAAATATGGAAGAATAGGTCAACTAGTGTGAATCAAAATTCCTCATGTTCTCTCGCTAGATATATAAATTACACACATGGGAAGATATAAGGCTCTCTCTGATTGCTTTTCTGTCCAGCTTTATCCTCCCTTCCGGGCTAGTTCCCATACATGGACGTACCGTCGTCTCCGAAATCTATCGTCAGTGCTCGTGCTTAGCTTGTTGTTCGATGGAGGCTGCGAGGAGAATGTTCCAGAAGATTCGGGGACAGAGCCGAGTGGTTCGACGCGGCTACTTCACCATCTGCGTCGGTCCGCAGAGGCAGAGATTCGTCTTGAAGCTCGAGCACGCCAATCACCCACGCTTTAGGACTCTGCTTGACGATGCTGAGAATGAATATGGTTCGTGCTCCTCCGTACATCACGATGGCCCTATATGCCTTCCCTGCCACGTTGATGTGTTCTGCCGGACATTGGCTGAGATTCAGACCTCTGTTCCAGATAAACGCAGTTGGGCTCGCCCGCTTTTCAATATTCTCACAGCAGCTCTTAAGTTTAGGATCAACCATCACTCATAAATATCTGTATAGTTAGACATATCGCTTTTTTAAACTGTCTTCTGTATTGCCGTTCAACTATCCTTTAAAATAGTTCAATCTGTGGTTAAACTAAAGCTTGTTAGTTCATCAGTCTGATTCTGTACATTTTTTCAATGTAAGTCTCATATTATATTTAACTTTTAAGGAATCATTATCTATATATATATATATATAGTAGTTCAACTTTTTGGAGATAAATTAAACAATCAGTGAATTATATCGAATGAATTTTATCACTGGGCGGACCTGGAAAGGGAGGGAGGGGGCCATTTTCTAAAAAATAAACTATACTTTATATAAAACTACATATTGAAACTGGCTAGAGAGGTGTGGAGACTTAGAAGCTGTAACAGTATTGCATGAAAGTGGAATTGTTTAATAGAATGGAATGGCATGCACCAACAAAGCAAACACTGCATAAAAGCAGCAAAAGAATTATTTCTTTTCTTCTTTCTTTCGAGAGAGGCAATGTTTACCAACAAAACAAACAATGGAATTGACCCCTTGATCCCCTTTTATCTGCCAGTGCTCGTGTAAATTCTTTATATATAGTTAATGATGCATGTTGAATATTGATTTTTATCCACACGTATCATTTAACAATATCCTTTTTGCACTGAAATATTCGACTAATCGGAACTAGCCTTCCGGTAGATCTAATCCACAATGGTTGCATCAAAACAATTTGAATGGGCTATATATGGTTGCATTGTGTGCCCTGTTTTAGTATATTAATTAATAGTGCATGAAAATATCACAAATTGTAGCTTAATAACTCTGCCTATGTGTCAAACTCATCTGAATCTTCTTCCAAATCTGCTGAGAAAATATGTTTTATAGGGGTCTACAACTTGACCTACTTCAAGCCCAGCCTACACTATTTACTTAATAAACTCAAGTCAAGATTAGGTTTTTAATTAAGCCTGTTTAATTAAATACATCAGGCCTATTTTTTAAGGCCTAGCCTACGAGCCTAACAAGTCAGCCTATTTACACACACACATTTATTATGTAGTATATTACTAACACATCGATTTCACAATTTGATTTTTAATTAATCTATTTTTTTATTTTTAATTATATTTTCAATCATATTGGACTAACATATTAATTTTAATGTTAGTAAATACTTTTAATTATTATATATTGTAATTGATATATGTTATATATTATATAATATAATAGTCTCAAAGTATATTTGAAACATTGAAAACTAAAATATAAACCTATTTAAAAAGCTTACTTTTAATTAAGTTTTTAAATAAATTTTTAAGCCAAGTTAGGTTTTAAATAGATTCAAACCTAAATCATGAAAAAAGCCTTATTTAAGCTTTAAGCTAGGATCAAGCCTCACATAAGCTCAACCCTATTTGGTTAAAGTTTAACCTGACTTAGCCTATTTTCATCCCTATTTTAAATGATAAAAAATTGGGGGCAAAAATTTGTACTAACATTTTTTTCAAATAAATAAATTTGCATGTTTTTATAAAGGATTCTGAGATTCCTGGAGGGGGAAGCACCCGCTTTGCCTCCATTATCGGCCAATGATCCAATGTAATTTTACTTCATAGCAAGACCTATTATTATTATTATATATAGATTTTATTTGTATAGTATATAATTAATCATACTTTCTTGTATTGGCAAATATTGTATCGATAATTGATTAACATCTATAACATCTAAAATTTAAAATAATATGAATTCATAATTTTTACCCCTAAAAAATAAAGACAGACAGGACAGTTTTTGTTGGATAATATTAATTCTTTTTGATCTAAATATTTTTTGGAAACAAGGTATTAATTAGCTCAATGATCTATCTATATATATATATATATATATCCCATGATCTTCTTTTTGCAATTGGCCTGATATATAATATATATCTATCAGCTGTTAACCTTTCCTCCTAAAAATAGGAAGTGCCGACACCATAACAGTTGCTTAAAATCATTCACAATTCAAAATCCAATAGCGTACTAGGACATGGTGATTAAAAAAAAAAAAAACTGATATATACATATATATAGAAGCCACCAACGGGAATCATATACTTGCTGGAATATACGAAAAAAAAAGGAGAAAATCTAGAGCACGTCTTGGAAAAGGGGCCCAAAAAGATATATACACAGTACATATCCTATTTCAATCTTCCAGACGGTGAGATAATTTAATAAATTAAAATTTATTATTTTCTACTGAGTCTTATATTTTATCCCAAACAATGCAAAATATACAGAATTATTAACTCATAGAAAAAAAGTCATTTTTAAAAATATAAAATTTAAATAATATTGTCCAAGGCTCAATAGAAGATTAATGCGCAAATCCTATATATATATATATATATGTATGTATGTATGTATGTATGTATGTATATAAAACACACATGGAAGGCCCTCACGTTTCCATGTCCTCACCACTATCTCTTTGATATTATATTCAATGGAGACTCTGACAAGAAAGTTTCAGAAGATTTGGGGTGACTGTTGCTGCTTCCGGCAACACCACGTCGAGGATGAGCGCGGTGGCTACACCTTGTTACGTAATCACAACATGATAGTGCCAGAAAGACAGTCGACGAAGACGAAACAAAGCAGAGTGGCTCCACACGGTTGCTTTGCAGTTTGCGTCGGTCCGGAGAGGCAGAGATTCGCGATCAAGATTGGGCACGCCAATCACCCACGCTTCATGGCTCTGCTCGAAGATGCTGAGAATGAGTATGGCAAGTCGATCCATAATAATGGTGGCCCTATATGTCTTCCTTGCGACGTTGATGTGTTCTGCGAGGCATTGGCTGAGATAATGATTGCTGATTTTGATTCCTCTGTTTCCGATAGTTCTACGTCATCTTGTCGGTCTTGTAAACGGAGTTGGGAAAGCCGGCTTTTCAAGATTCCAAAGAGTTCTTAAGCTTAACCTCAAACGCGGCGCTTAGATGTCCTTGTAGATACGTTGGAGAAATCGATTTTCTTTTTCATATTTCATGAGTGACTGGCTAATGATTCTATACTTTGAAGGTTCGATTTCTTTATATTTTTGGCATTTTAGATTGACATTGACGATTCTTGGGTCTGCAAGGTGATTTTCTTTGTTTTTTCTTTTTTCTTTTTGAATATTAGTGCACGGAAAACCACGTGATAGATGAATGAAAATCAGATCATATCAAATTTTATGAGGGATTTGTATTCTGAAGGTGTATGATTAAAAGTAATAAGATCTAAGTTTTCATTAATTCAGTCATTGATAGGAAGCCAAGTCTTTCTTAGTTGATTTTTTTTTAATTCCTTCTCCGAGTTCTCTCTGGCATAGAGTTCTAATTAAATGTTTAATTTTTCAATTTAATTTGTTACCAAGACAATTCTATATCTGCTTTTTTAAAGTTCGTACATATTGGTTTGATTCGTTACCTTTTTTTCTCCTTTCAAATTATTGCAGGATATTTTGGCAAAAAAAAAAAAAGAAGTTTATATAGGATATACTGATTAGTTAGTGCATGTGTGTATCCTTCTTCAAATTTTTGAGTAATCACATATAATAGTTCAATTTTTAAAATTTAAGATAATCAAGCTAATTTATGTATTTATAAACAGTATAATTTATTAGACATTTTATTATACATATTGATAATGTTAATATAGATAATTGGTCTAAAAAGGATATTTTTCATGCAGAACTTAGCAAAGCTTTTCTTCACCAAAGATATGGAGGGGAAATCTAGCTACGTGCACCCCCACTTTAATATCGATGACATTGTTCAAACATTCTTCTGTATCTCAATTGTTCCAAATTTTCTTGCAATTAATTATATCGATAAAATAAGGTTTTTCCAAACAAAATTTGAACGTCGATAAACATAATTTTAAAATTTTTTAACTCACGCTTAATTATCAATTGAACTTCGATGTGACCAGAAATTAAAATCTAATAATTTTATTTATCTTACAAGGACTTATTTCTCTAAAATAGATTTTTTTTCCCGTTCGGATGGAAAGGTCTATTAAAAAATAAAAACATTGCTCCATGTGTCAATCTGAATATCTGAGTAAATGGACTGCGGACACTGGACATGACAATTTAGTGTATTTCTTAAACGAGATAAATGAATAAATATTCTGATATGTTTCAAATTAATTAATAAAAAACCTCAAATCAGAGAAAACGAAATGTTAATTTAATCAATATATTGCATAAAAATGAAATAAATGTCACTATTCTGTTCATTTTTTATTTCCTAGATATGATTTTTTAAAATTGAATAATTCTAGAGGATTTTAAATCGTCCGAGAGAGTTAAGATTAGTTTAATTTAACGTTTATTAAAAATGATGGACTAGGTCAGAAATACAAATTAAATACGGTAATTCCTTTTTTTTTTTTGGACTAAATACAAATATGGTAATTCAAGTGAAGTGAACACCACTTCTATATATTATACTTCATATTCCAAGTTTAACAATTAGATCCACGAGAACAGGATTATTCCCCAATAATTAACAACAGCACAATTATGAACAACAGAACATTAATTTATAGCAGACGCAAACATGGGCTTAACTAAACTAGCAGATGCCTTTCATTGGACGCACGTGTAACATTTATAATGAAAATCAATCAAGAATAACGGTTCGCAGATTTTCATAACTGCATCAGTGCTTCAAAGGTTTCCATGGCAGAAGCAGGCAAACCCAGAAGAACATTTACGTTCTTCCTCTCTCCCCCATGAGACAGGAACAAGATGACCTCTTTCTCAGGCAAGGTCACAGGCCCAGAACACAGAGGTTGTCCCCATCCAAAATCTGTGGTGTGGAAAGACAACCTAGTCCAAGTTGTGATCAGAAGCGTCGCTGCTAAGGAGGGCCTAGCTCTCGTCGTTTCAAAATAGTCTATAGCTGATCTCATGTACCGATCTGTAACCATATCAATGGCCTGCTGAACCAACCCAACAGTGAATGATAGAGGATTCGTCAATAACTC